AAAATGCCAAAAACAAAAGTCTTTCCGACGCAGATTGCTTGTACATGTTTCACCATAATGGTGAACTTGTTTGAGTAATTTATGGTGATATAATAAACTCACTAGGATCGATCAGAATCAGTTTTTCACGTTGGGTATAATTTTATATAGATAAACATACAAGGGAGTGCACATGTCAATGTCTGAAAAGTTTCAGTTTATCCAAATATTCACTATTCAGTCTTTGGTAAGCTTAAGATATGGCTAATGGCTTTATTTTTATCGTCCGTGCAGCTACACAAATTCTGAGGATTCTTGAGGATATTTGTATCAAAGAGTTTTATCGTAACCATTTGCATCGCGAGTCCCACTTGATTTTTAAGAAAAAAGCTTTCGTCAAACTTTGTCAACCAACTTTATTCAACACATTTTCTCCAACAATTGCCCGGGCGCCTATTTAAAATTTCAGCTGATAGGAGTGGTGCTTATTACAAGGAGGGCGCTTGATCAAGGGGGACGATTATTAAGAAACTATTAACGCTTATTAAGAAACAGGTTTGCTTCCTATCTAAGAAAATAAGGATTAAGGAGTTAGGGCCGCAGGAAGGGAAGGGGGCGGGGCTTATTCGAGGGGGGCGCTCAAAACGCAATAAAACAAGACTTTCTTCCGGTAAGAGTCTCACATAGTTCTAAGCATCATCTAACAGTGCAAATCTAACCATCTGATGTACTGATGTCTCCTTGACAGGGACTTGTCCAATAACCAGTTAAAGAACTTACCCCCGGGAGTTTTCTACTGGACTAGACGCCTCCAAAGACTGTAAGCACCAAACAACATAAATCTTTATTTACTGCTGTAACATTCATGCGATTAAGGGGAGGGACTAAAACAATCTCCCGCGGAATTCCATGACTTGCAAATGAAAAATATATAACCGGAGGATAAAAAAAAAGAGTTCATGACGAGCAAGAAAACACCTTCCAATTGTACACCCCCTTCTTTCTTCACAAACCCCATGACCCGCTAAACGAGGACTAGAAGCTGAAACTCAACCTAGTGTTGGGAAGGCAACGACTTGGCAACCAGGCGAGTAAAAGTGAACCAGGACTTTTTTCCACATTATCTCATGATTTCAGTAGTTTTTTAGCCTCTTGGAGGAGTCGTTATCTGAGCTCAGTTACAATTTGAGAATCTTGTCAAAACTGCTTACCCGATATTACGCTTCAAAAAAACTAATGGTGTTGATGAAAAACACAGTGCGTGAAAAAAGATGGCTCGAAAACCTTTCAAAGTATTCTCACTTCTTCAGCATAAGATTATATTACGAGTATGCAGTTTGGTTATTTAAATGTTTTCAATTTATTTTGTGTAATGGTTGCCTTCTATAAGCTATGGGTAATAAATTTGGTTTGGGGCGCATTTATCATTACATCATTACGTGACTCGGTAATTCGTCTAGTTTATTTGGAAAACTCGTCTCAATATATATTTTTTAAATATAATCGTTAATTGATTTAATATACATAATACGGACCAAACTACTGGTGAATAGAATTTTTGTTTTTTTCAAACACTTAACCAAATGCTTGATAAAAGAGCTCGAATGATTTAGGGCTGTAATTAAGATCCTTCATTAACTGAAAAATGTTTCAGTGAGTGGATAGTATAGAAGATAGAGGTGATGCAAATTAAAGAGAGAGGCTTCACTGAAACATTTTCGTTTGCGAGTAGAGATAAAGGCAATTTAAAAGGCTTTCAAGCAATCTTTGAAACATGACTATCTAGACGATGTTTTCTTCAAGAACATTTAGTGATTTTACGGCGATTAACCCAAGAAGATTTACCTCTGTTCAATTTTAAATGGCAAAGAAAGTCATTATATGTAAATTCAAATATGTGTTTGAAGTTGTGAGAGTCTGTTCGTTTGTTTGCTGCAATGGCGTGTACAAAGTTGAACTCAAACGAGACACTATATTCAATCAGACACAAGGGAATTTAATGTTGCGTTTACTCATGCCATTGAATTCCTTCGGTTTCTGTTTTGCAATTTGTTACAGAAATGTCCAAATGTAAATTAATTGCAGACTTAACGAAGGTTTACTCAGTAGTAGGTCTTAGAGACTAGAAAAAAATCGCGTTTTACAACGAGCAAATTGTTTTGGAGAACTCAGGTAGTAAATTTGATCGATTCTAATTGTGAACAAGTACCTCACGATTTTGCTGTCTAAGTTGCTTTTTGAGAAGCTTTGCTCAGGCTGCGTGTCAACCCGTTTAATAACACATAATTTTTATAGGAAAGAGAGAGAGAGAGAGAGAGAGAGAGAGAGAGAGAGAGAGAGAGAGGGTATTTGCTATGATAAGTGGGTATTTGCTACCGTAGCAAATACCCACTGGTAAATATTTGCTACGTAGGTTAGTATTTGCTACAGTAGCTAATACGTAGGTTAGCATTTGCTACGGTAGCAAATTCGGAGGGTGGGTATTTGCTCCTATGGGTGGGTATTTGCTACTGTAGCAAATACGGAGAGAGGGTATTTGTGAAATAGACAAAAATGCAACATTGCGAAAGAGGAAAATAACAATTGTTGGGGCGCTCTGTTAAAACTCCGCATCAGTTAAAGGTATTTAGGCAAAATTACGTTTCTTGAGTGAAAACCAAAATGAGTATTTGCTACGAAAGTTGGGCATTTGCTACGAATGACATTTTTGAAAATAACTGCGTTCAAACATAATATGTAGCAAAACAAGTTGGAAGAAGTTCCTATTACAAAGCGCAAAGTTTTCCCAAGGAAAAGAATGTCCGAAACTATTAAGGAAGAAATTTAGGGGCAAATTCAGATTCGCACCTTCCAAAAAGGATCTCGAAGTTCAGATCAAGTTTACTTCATGCCTTAAAACAGGATTTAATTCAAAACTCGCCATGCGGAAGAACCAAAAATATTTCAGATTGCCGCGGGGTTGTCAGGCAATTGTCCAAAGTAAAAGGACCTTTGCAGTCTGCTTCAATCGCAAGATTTACAATTTTTGGGCCATGTACCTTCAAGTAGATACTTGCTACGCTGTGCGACTAACGTAGCCAAAAAAAATAGAGTAATCTCTGGGGTAAATTGCTTTTTCATTGTTTCCGTCAATATTAAAGAATAAATGTTGTAGAGGCTTAGTGGAATCGCGTTTTCCATTTATTTAAAACTGGGAGAAAGAGAAGGAGAGAGAGAGAATAGAGAGAGAAGAGAATTTATAAATCATTCTTCAGCTAAATGTCGTGACCGAAATATTTGCTAATAAAACTCACCAATCCATATACCAAGAAAGGTAATTTCTCGATATGTCTATTAAATCAATTCATCTCAAAACAAGAGGTTATTACATATATTTAATACTTACTGAAATTCTAAAAATTTTACGCACTTGTTAGCTATTCATTTACAATGCCTTTAAATTTTCACGAAACGTCAGCTTTGAAACTCTTTCTGGTGGCTAATTTATGTTATCAACTCAGTTGATAATGTAGTAAATTACCCTAATTTCCAACGGTTTCAATGAGAGGCATTGTGACAGCCCAGCTGTCACAATGTTGTAATCCTTTAACAGACGATGAAGAGAAGGGTCAAAAGTTTTTCTTTTAAAATGGTGTCTACCTCAACACCAATCTTTTCAATCTGTTCACGGATTCCATATACATCACCCACGAACAGCTGTGGAGGCTGCTGGGAGCCACACATATGTACAGAGTCAAGAGAGCCTTTCTTGACAGGGTACATACATGTACATTTTGAATGGATTAACACACACCCCAGCAGTGATCATCAAAGCAAATTATTGTGATACTGTATTTTCTTTCCTATCTATGTCTCATCACAACTGAACCCCCTTGTTAACCCATTCACAAACTAATAATGATGTACACTTTTAAATAACCTCCTCACCACATTTTTAATTCATTGATTTTGGTGGTATATCAGTATTCCTGCTGGGAATTATCATCTGTAGCATTTTCATTTCTTGTGAGCTTCTGTGAACAGTTTGAAATTGTATGGAGAAGTCACATATCAATCACTCAGGGAGTAAATGAGTCAACAAAAGGAAAGAAAGCATTGTGCATTTTAACACTGTGCTCATGTTAATGATTTTTGTTGATTAGATTAAGAATTTTGTTCCATGATTTGACTGCTACACCCTGGCACTTTGAGGAAAGCCTAATTTATGAAATACCTGTTGAGAACAGCACAAACAATTCCATCATGAAGCCCTTACAAATGAAAGGAAGTCAACAGTTACAAATGATAAAAGGAATCAATGGCTACCAAGACTGTTGCTGGTCAATGAAATTGATTAACTCTTTATTAATCATTCATTTTCCATAGCAAATAATGGCATACAATTGAGCTGGTTTCACAATAAAGGTTTCAACTACACATAAATCAAACTCTTGTTGAATTCACAATAATGTTCATGAGGATGCCTCAGTTCCCAGAACAAAAAGGCCACAATGATTTATAAAGGATTATTAAATAACACCAGATGCATAAGGGGAATAGAATTCTGTTTCTTCAAATCCTTATTGTGTTTGGAGAGGTAAAGGTATGCATACATGCACCAGTAGCTTTTGAGGTAACAAAGTAGATGCAAGTTGTTGATTTGAGACTGAAGCTCAAAAGGAAGTGAACTGAGATACCCTGGGCATATTTCAGCTTACTGATATCACTCATTGAACTTTGTAACCATCTGTTGGACAAAATTTCCAATTGCAGCCTCATTAAAGTCAATATCATTATATAATTCATTAATAAAAGACCTATTAAATGATCAAGAGAAACATATATTGGTTTGATTGTAACTTCCTGCTGAACATATACATACAGCATACAAAAGTAATAACAAGTTCAAACTTAGCACTAATTCTCAAACTAATTGACTCAAATTTTTTCTGATTTTTTAACTTAAACAAAGAGAAGAATATATATATAATTATGTATTTGAACTAAATTAAAAAAAAAAAGTAACTCATAGTTTGGTGCAAAATTTGAATAAGTTTCTATTTGGATTTGCTTAGGGTGAAAACATCTTTAATACCATTATTTTTTATTTAGACTGATATTAAGATACAAAATGTAAGCCTCCACCATAATTTCCAATGAGTAAAGACAGCCATTGTGTTTCTTATTCCAACAACTTATTGCATTGGACACTTTCTTATTTTGAATTGAATTACAAAGAAGCCATTAACTAAAGATAGTATGCTTGAAAGTTGAATATCAGCTGTGAGCAATATTTTTACCCCAGTCTTGGATTGCTTATCAATAAATCACAACCTGTCAGTCACTTTACTCCATTTCATCAAATCCTTCATGACAGGAATTAAGCACATTCACTGCCAGAAAAAAAAATTAATGGAATACAATTATTTTTACAAAAAAGAAGCTTTCTGCCTTTTTGTTACATTATGTTAGCAATATAAAACATGCCCTCTAACTCATGTATGATTAGATTTATTTTAGATTTTAAAGGGAAAAAACAATGGTTTGCATAATTTACCTTGATTTTTTTTCCATAATTGCCAGGACAATGCTGCCAAAAAACTGTAAATATAACAATTAGTAGTGTTGTTTGGTTTACTGTTTGGATAAAAGGGAATTGACACACAAGCTGACTTAGAGGCAAGATGCAAATTAACCACTCAGCTATTAACACAATTCAACAAAATGCAACATAAGTCATAGTCAGTCATTAAATCAGTTAGTTTATTTACATTGGCTAAATTTAGCTCCCAGCATACAATACCAAGTCCACAAGTCAAAGAAAACTTTGAAATTGAATGCTTTTAGAGATGCATGTAGGTGGCAGTCATTTTGATGGTCTACTAACAATACTAAATTTTGTTGCGGAAGAAACCGAACTTTTATTACCAGGCAGTAAGATCATCATTGGAAGAATGCATGTGCAACATCCTAAATTCACAAATTTTGGAAAAAGTGTATTCTCTGCATGCACTTTACAAAGACAGTAATCTGTACTTCTCACCTGAGAGAAAGCATATAAACCACCAGCTGACCAAAAGACTGATCTAAAGGTATTTCATGTAGCAGCTTAATTATCATGCTTTTAGCTCAGCTACCTACACTGATCCAGAATGGCAACTTTTTCTCCCAAGCCTGCTTTCTTGCTTCAGACAACAGATGGGACTGATAAAACACTCAAGTCATCATGGTATGATCCAAAACATTTTCTCTTCTCCTTTTACTAAAAAGAAAGTGCCATTAATGATAGTCATAAGGTATTGACATTGAATAAATGTCTGTGAATCAGAATGGAGATCACCAGCAATATTTGATGCACATCAACAGAAGAGAGGATATTTGGGAAACCTTCAACACAGCCATCATTAACATGGTACATGTACCTAAAACAGTTATGCTTCAGAGGCCAAACAGGTTTATAGAAGAAACCCAAAGGAGGAGGAGCCACAGTGACTACTCATTGAGTGCACTCCTTCCTTTAAGTCCTCCAGCACAGCATTCTTAAAAGATACTTAAGGATTGAAAAGATGATATCAAATTACTATAGAGACACTTGCAGAATATGTAAGTTTGGCTCACCTTGCCCATAGTTACAAGGCAAAGGATTAACAAATAAATATTGTCTTTCAATGTATGCATATTACACAAAGTATTTTCTTGGTCTACTTTGCCTTTTTCTTACTCTTGGTCTTCTGTTCATTAAAAGCTCCATTTTCAGATGAAACACCCTTGCAAGGAATCTTTTTTGGTGACATTCTTGGTCAGTGTTTTTGTAAATTTTCATAATGGTGGCAAGTGTCACTGGCTTCCTAAATGCTCTAAACTGCATTATGAGCCTTTAGGTTCCCTACAGAATTAATCCTTGTGTGCCTGATGAAATGAAAATCACTCATTTTTCATCATCACAGCCATTTGGCATATTAAATCTCAATGGCAAACTTGGGCGGGAGCCTTTGTAATACCCTTAACACCAACGAATCTGGAATTGGTGAACAAGCCACAGATTTTGCAAATAACTTTCTGGTATGTTCGTCAGCATTCCCAGCCGAGATAACAAGTCCTATAAGGCATTGATTAGAACGATTTTCTTTCAATCACTTTGCTCTTCGAATTCACCTGCACGATAAATTAAAGGAAATGACCTATCATTTTCTCATTTAAATCTTAATGGGTTAGCTTATTCATTGTCATGTTGTGCGAAAATTTCAATTTGCTTACCTGAGGCACATGTTGCACGGGCATGCATGTAACTTTTCCTCAGAGACTTTTGAGACTTTCCATTGATACCAGACGATACAATTACGCTTTGTCCAAGTCATCCAATAAACTTCCATCCAAAGAAGTGGGATGAACTACACAAGTGTAAACTTTTCGTTAAAAGGCCAACACTGTCGGCTTTGGACTCCGTTCGTCCCCAACATCGTTTTAAAGCCCAATACCGACCAACGTGGTGTGTTTATGGTTCTCTGATGGCGTTGCTCGCCCTTTTAGCTCTTTTTGTTTGTTTGTTTGTTCGTCTTTGTCTTTTTTCTTTTTGGTCACCAACCTCAAGCCTTTTTGTTTTCATGATATGCCCAATTCTTACTCACTTTGGACGACACATTTGTAATCAAACTGTCAATAAAAGCCACGGGGCTTTAGCATCCTGGCCTCAAGAGACAACATTTAGAAATCTGGAATGAACTTGGGGATTTGGAGGACTTTGGTACAGTGGAACACAGAGCTGCACAGAGGGAAATGATTATTGTTAATGGCTGGTTACCACCACAACTGCGTTTTTTGATTCCGCAAGAGGATTTACGTAAAGACTAACCACGTATTCCAAATCTAGACAGACATCTTAAGGTTTTCTTTAAAAAAATTACAAATATCAAAATTCAGGTCTTTGGAAGGAATATTAAACAGTAGCAACTCTAAATCGGCAGCAAATCCCTATTTTCAAAGGAAGTTACCGGAATCCGCCCCAACACACATTCGGAATAACTTGGCACATCACCTAGGCTGTAATAAGGTCAGCAATCAACAATGGTCTGCATATTTGGATTTAGACTATCCGGATTGTTTGAATATTTTTGCCAGTCGGAACAAAAATCTGAAAAGAGATCGATCCGTACAGCAAACAGCCTGAATAAAACAAGATGGCGATTTTTTGTAGATTACCTTCAGCCTTTTACTCCTTGCTGGAAGAACTTGATAAAGAAAATACAGAAACAAGGAAAAACATCATGAAAATGGATGACTTGCTCATTTTTATGATGCTTGAGAAGCATAAGAAACTCACAGAAATGTTGCAGTTCAGAAGGATGCTTACGCCGTGCAAAAAAATTAATTGCTTTTTACGGTCTTAACTTAGCGAATTTCCATCTTCTCCGTTTTATTCTTAACATTCAAGTCCAACTTCTATAATCCTAAAGATTTCTGGAGGAGTACAGCGGTGTTCAAGAACCTGGGCTAACTTGAAATGTCAATGGCTCATTTTCCATTTTTTGAACTACCATGTTAATCGCTAGTGTCCATCACGTAATCGGGATCAAAAGTGATATACCGACCCGTGCGATCCAAGTTTCGGAGGGAGATCGTTCGTTCTGATTGCAGTCTTAGACTTGTTTTGTCCTTGATGAAGCACAAAATTGTATGTGGATCGGAAAATCAGGATTTAGATTGGCTAATAGAAACGCAACCTTAATCATTGTAAGGGAAGGACTGAACGGTGCTTCTTACATGAGGTTTGTACCAGAGATTACGAGGTTTTGAAGAGTGTGCTTTAGTATTTGAATGAGGGAGCGATTCTCTGTAAGTAATGTGCATCGGCGCCTCAGCTGAGATTCGTGGGTTAGGGCGTAAAAAATTGCCCAGTGTCAGCTGAAAGATACTTTATTACATCATACTGTATTTGATTACTAGGTAATTCCCACACACCAGTTTGATCACGAATATATCATTACACCCAGTGTGACATGTGGTGCAGCCATCAGAGGTTTATTTCTTTGGAAAAAGTTCAAAGAGAAGCTTCGCTAAGTTAGAGTGTAGGTTGCCGTTGACTTTGGTTTGTAATTCAAGCGGCAATATTCGGACCAAATATAACATTCCCAAAACGTATAACATTGTTCTGACTTTATACAACTAACTTACTGGGACTTGTGGACGATCCAGAGTCAACTCTCTGGTGCAGGAGTGAACGGATGATAAAGCGCGCAGTACCACGTGTGTTGAATGACATTTCAAGCTGGGAGAGGCTGGAAAGCTTATGCCATAAAAAATAGACTTGTATATAGTTCAATCTAAAATAAAATAATGGACTGTTAGGCTATAATAGCAGTACAAGGATTTCTGCAACCTTTTTTATGAAAGGACTCGTTCATATTTTCGCGAAGGAGAGACTTACTTTTGCAACGAGTCATAGTGAAGTGTGGCTATCTGTGCTCACCTACTCCTTTTCAAACATATGATACATCATGTGTGGCGATAATATGTTGAAGATTGATGTAAAGAAAACCTTGAAAAACGGTGGGGAAAATGGGATGATTGAAGAAAGTGCAATCGCCATAAGTCATTCAACTAGGCTTGTTTCTTTTTTTTTTTGTTTGCTAGTCTTTTCAAATTGCAACTTTTTTCACCCATTATTTCTCTGTTTTTTTTTTTTCAACTATTATTTTGAATTAGCTTTAGTCATTAGATAACACATCAGCGATATGGTCCAATCGTAACTTATCTCGTAGGCAGGGCGTCTTTTTTTTTTTCAGCACACTTAATGTCTTCATTAGACATGATTGTAACGCATCTACTCCAATCAAATTAAATTATTTTACAATATTTTGTTCCTTAGTTTTTGAGCATCATTTTCTAGCGTTTCACTTTTCGTGCGCAGCTTAGTTCCCGCAGTTGTAAATAAAATTCCATGATCTAAATTCTTTTCAAAGTTGAACTTAGGCATTATGGCTGAGTATATGTTTACACCAGTCAAATTCTTCTTCTAGTTATTAATTCCATCCCCTTTGGTGGGGCTGAAAATACCTGCAAAAATCCAGTAACAAATGCCTTTAAATTCTGGAGTAGGATTTTCCTGATTTCAGTAAGCCACGCACAAAATTGGTCAAAGATGTAGAGTTTCAGCTCTAACCTATGTTCCTTTCGATGCCTGTTGCACCCTTTGTTTCAGTCACAGGAAGCTAGCGACTACTACCCTTTTTTTCCAGAATAAAAGGCCTGGCATCAGGCACTGAAATGACAGGGCGCGAGCTTCATCAGTTCTTTGATTTCGACATGCCACCATACATAGTTATTCTTCTCCTTTTAATAAACATTGTTGTTGTCGTGAACAAATGCAATAACGGGTCGTTTTTGCTGTTTTGGGGGCAATAATAAGTCAATCAAAGAAATTTTTCTGTGGAAAACATGTGTTATGTTGGGTATTATTTAGTCATATTAGCTCTTTGTATCAATTTAGGACCACGCCTAGGTAAACTTCATAACAAGCTCGCTCATTGGTCTTGAAGATTGACTTCTCCTCTATGAATATTTTCGAAATAATTTTGCATTGATAGGAAGGCTACATGGTTTCTATCAAGAGAGCAAATGAAGCTTCTACTCAACCTTTGTTATTTATCAGCATTACAAGATCTAGTGGGTTGGAGGTGGTCATATGTAGAAATGCAACTTTAAAGTTTCTTGAGCCCGAGAATATTTACTCGCCAATGTTGATTTCAGGCTTAGAGTCACATATCCCTGATTTCTCGTTACTGGGTTTACTTCATTTTCTCTCTTTCAGTGACTTGTCCTATAATGAACTGGAACAGCTGCCCCCAAAAGCTTTCTATGAAATTTATTGGCTTGAAGAACTGTAAGTAGCTATATAGCACTTTTGCTACAACTGATATAGGGCTACTGTTTCTTTTACTCTCCTTGACTGAATCTTGTGATGATGTGTGTGAAAATAACTGTTTATCATATGGCAAGGTGTCAAAAGGACTGTATATAACTAAACGGAAGGGTATGATTGGCTAAAAGCAAGAGATTATAATCATAATCTCTCGCTAAAATCGATATTGATCAAGGTTTAGATTTTTCAACTTGTTTACCGACATCAAGATCGATATTTTTTTAACATTTGTTCTTAAAACGTCGCAAGTAAGATACAACAACAACAAAAACAACAAACTAAAAGTATAATATGTAGCCACTTGAGTATATTGATGAGACAAAAATGATAGAAAAAGACCCAAAACCTCCATTTTACCTTTCGTAGAGAGATCAGACACACTTAATGATTTTGTGGGGTTGATCCGTTCTACTCGAATTAATTTTGTCGTCTTACAGCCGATGGATGCCTGAATGGCGATCGTTTCTCAGTTGAATCGCCAAGATTTCAAAACACTTGGCACTCTTATCTAAGCCACACCAAATTTTACAATTGGTTCATACGTCAGCGTCGAATTAATTTTGTCGTCTTCTGGTCGATGGATGCCTGAATGGCGATCTTTTCTCAGTTGAATCACCAAGGTTTCAAAACAATTATGAAGCACGCTCACGCAATTGAATTTGATTAGACAAATTTACTAGCCATGTTATAAATTTACTAGCTATGTTATAATATTTCTGGATACCTATCACGGGCGAAATTATTTTTTTTAACGCAAACTATTCTAGTTAACATAAAATTTTGCTCGCAGTAACCTGTCCTTCTACCTGACTAGCAATCTGTACACAAAATTTCCGTTTCCATGCGGATATAAAGTGGCAAATAATTAAGAAGATAAAAGAGCAAATTAAAAACAGAAGTGAATATGGTAGAAATGATGAAAGAAGTAAAGTGAATTTAGACGCGCAGATGGTATTGTCTGCATCAGATATTCAATAAAAAATAATAATAATCAAAACTCCTATGTTAAGGAATTCTTTCGTTAGCATGTTAGACACTTTTAACATCCAGAAAGAAAGGATTGCCAAAAGGTTTATAATTAATTCCTTTCTCCTTTCTTCCTTTCTTACTTTGCTGGCTAAAACCTCTTTTGTTAATTTTGCGTAGATTTCATATTGACTCTATCTGCCAGGAGAAAAGTCAAACAGTTTGCCTTCTAATCGTCTACTCCTCAATACCTGCCTCATCTTATCACTAGCACTTATAACTCTTATTCAGTAAAGTGGTCAGTAACATGTCTGATCTTGTTACAAGTCTTGTTATCTTCAGCTTTGCAATAACAGTACAAAGTAAATCAGATTAACCCATTTGTTTTTTAACTCTTACGGTTTCCTTCTCACCATTGCAGTTTCCTGAACAACAACAACATAAAGAACTTGTCCTCTGATCAACTACCTAAAAAACATTGGTGGGGATATAAATTTAAAAACCTGTAAGTTTTGTGGCTTAGGAATCTTTCTCCGCTTGAGTTAGTAATTCTACCATACCTGAGGTTTAAAAAAAAGTTCTAGAAACAGACCCTCCCTTATGACGGAGATTAGATAAAAACCATCAATTTTCAATCTTGGTAAGAAATTAAGGATACATTATTTTATTGTATTACAACCTTTTCTTTCATCAGGTGGGTTTTTTGGGTCCCATTCATACAGTCTCGAGTACAAGAGACAACCTTCCCCACCCGCCACCCCCAGCCCCCGGAGACAACTTTACCGAGCGTTTATATGAAATTTGACTTCTGCCAACCCTCGTT